CGAGTAGAGAGCTTGTATAAGGTTAATGTACTTCTTTCAGTAACAAACACTACAACAAATCCTCACGATCAACAGCTATACCTATATCTGTGAGGCCACGGGAAGCACATTCCGGGCTTCCAGTTGCACGTAGTGTGAGTCTAAACGGTTCATTATTTCGAAATGGTATGGTTAAATGAACCACGCTACTCGGATCATGCATTCGCGAGTTTCTGAAGTCCTAGCTGAGGAAGCCTGTTGTCCTATTTTACACAGTGTTCGGAACTTAAAAGCTCCCATATGTAGATTAGATCATGGGTTCACTAGACCAGGAATAATGTTCTGCGTGTTGGCATTAACGTCGTGAGAGCATGACCGCATAACTCAAGGAACAACTGCTCGAGGCCAGTCACGCACGGCCTTCTGTAGGGCCTTTTTAACGCGTTAGCTCTGTTCTTCGAAAGACCTTGCCACCGGAGACGGAAATCCATCATATCTTCCAGCCAATATAGCTCGGCTGGGTCGTCAAGATAGGCAAGCCCGACCACCACGTTAAAGTAGCAGCTAAGGTCAAGGACGCACTATGAACGTGGACGGGATAGTACACATTAAAAAGAAGGTAGATGCCATTTAACAATATTTCAGACCACATTCTTCGGCAAAAATTAAGAGTTCCGTAGGTTCGATAATCTTTTATATATGGTTGTAAGTAGCAAAAACAAGCACTGTCAAATGTCCCTAGACGAAAATCAGATCTTAGTTAGACTTATGTGTTCTTCGAGGCATTAGATAGAGAGGGAGTGAAGTGTCTCATGTATATATGGTAAAGTATTCAGGCCGAAATTCCTCGTTCACCTCAAGGATGGAGGCTTTAAACATGATAATAAGTGGTACCCTTGTTAAACTGATTAAAAAAGCGTGAGCTGATAACGTTCTCCTAAACAGGAATCGTTAAGAGGAAGCGAACGTCTCGTTATTTATTTGAAATTTAGATATTTTCAATAAGTGTTGCTTCAAGGAGTTCGTGGTTTACATGGATCATAAAGTAATGAATAATGTATGGAATACTAAAGCCAATAGAAACGTTGACCTCAAGAGACCCGATATCTCGAATACACATTACAGTTCACCAGTATTATATGGTATTCAAGGCAAGGATAATCAGACAGCTAAAACATTACTTTCTATTATAAATGAATATAATTCGACAATTTGCCGTTATATATCAGAATTCAGAAAACAACTAGAGGAAGGACAAAAATCTAGAATATCTACTTCCAAGAACGAACTTTAGTTTCGGATTAAAGCACCTACCGCTATATGATAGTCATTCCCTAACTGTTTGGTCTTGGAAGTATGAAAATGTTAGGTGAACAAGTCACATCGGACAACTCATAGTGATTAGATAAGTTAATTCCAGACAAAGGATAACATATTATGAAAGTGTGTGTGACATCAGTAGATCATTATTGAGCACTAGAGACACGATATTTGATTGTAAATGTATCAATGTCGAGTATTAAACGTACTACAACAACCTATCATAAAGTACATCACTTTCTAAAGTTGCTCAACCAGCATGTTTTAAGATTATTCAGAGCAAAACTCCAATAGAAGTCGATTCTAGAGGCAAGATATTGTAGAAGTCAAAGTTAGGTAGCTAAGAGTTAACAGATATCTTAAAATGCTTATTTACCTCTCCTATTTAATGACTAAATGTTAGTTTAATATCCTCCGCTTGCTACTCCTATTGTGTAACACAAAACCTTAGTCTCTTCACAACGTTAAAGAAAGACAGGTTAGTAAAAGTCTAACAAACCGTTGGGACGAAACTGGTTGTATTGTGACCTTCGATTTGTAAATAAAGACTAGGATTCTGGAGGTGTTTTTTTACCTCTTGAAAAAACGAGGAAAATAAGCCAATAAGAAGTAATTAAAATAACCCATTGTGTCACTGAATAAAAATAAAGAGAAATCAGCGAGGAAAATTACCTTCTTGATCAAATTATTTACTCAGACCGAACATTCTTTTTATAATTGTATGGTACATACATGTCCAAACAAACGTTGAAAAGATTGCATCAAAGTGATTCAAGATTTGAATAGGAAATAAGCGAACAGTAATAGCTCGTAAAAGGTGAGATAAATCAGCCCAAGCAATGCAATAGGGAAAACGTTTTACAACCAAACATATCGCTATCGCTCTTATGAAGAATGTTCCTACATTTTAATAAATTATGATATCACCTTAAACCAGCGAACAAAACGAAATTCAGCAACATGACAAGCTACGCTAGTCCCGTGTCCCAGCCCTTTTAACTAGAGGTAGAAGAACAGATTCAACCGAGGGAAATGTATATTTCACAAGCAATCGGAAGCGCAAACCAACAAGCACATAACTCATAAGTATATATACAGCACAAATATACCCTTGGAAGACGTCACGAAATAGCGTATAAAAAGAGGAGAGGAACAAACAAAATTAAGGGTCCTTCCACGAGGAAAATACAAATTGGGAGTAAAAATGGGTGCTTTTCGTGCAAAAACGAGAAATTCAAATTTCCAAAATAAAAGTACTAAAATAGGATGTTTATCAAGTGACTTATGAGTATCTAGCGTCACCCAAAAATGTAGAGGAAAATTACAAAATAACAATCACTGACTCATATCTGTTTGTGTCTTAAGCCACTAAGCCACACCACATAAAGGATTCGACCGGGGAGTTATGGCGAACCATCAGTCCTACTTATCTCACGTCGGTCCTATGAGTTCTTTGCATCTACGTGCAAAGTGTATGTGGGCTGATTAGGCGTAACCTCCATATCTTTAGTAGCGCTACACAGTGAGACAGACCTAAGACCGAAACGTTTCACCTGGTGACGGATCCACACAACTGCTACCTATTTACATAAGAGTTATCTCCAGAATGACGTTCGAACTGGAGTAATGAGATTAAACAATCGTCTCCAAACTCACTAATCGAATGGAACAATGGAGAAAGGGGCTTCTATTTTCTCACTCTAACTGAAGTTTTTTATGCAGAACCTTCAAGATTTTAACAAAATTCAAAAGCATAGCTTTCTCCAAAAGACAACAGGTAACAGCCCGGTCCAACAGATCGTAGACGACATTGATATTAAGAAACAATGATTTTAATAAATGCAACGGCACTCTAGCACTTGACAGAGAGTGAATGTACGAATAATACATTGATATACTGAAAGAGATCAAGCCTGCTGCTAGAGAGTTAACTTTTTATGGGTTTCGAGCAATCCATGAATTATGACGGAAATTAATAGTATAGACAAAATTAATAACAAAGTGATCACGCGATAGCTGTTACACAGGTGGCGAAGCCTCATCTTGGAGATGTGGATGATGATCACATCATTTCAGGACGTTGGGACACTTTCTCGCATCTTTTCAAACCCAGTTGTTTCTCTGACCAGAAGTTCTCCACCCACTTTAAAATGAGCTGTCGGCAATTCATCTGGACCTAGCACCCTGTGGCACTTCCAAAGATGGGGTTTACCGCCGACTTCTGCCTCGTTAGATGAATCCGTTGTCGTGAGCCGTGGAGGACAGTGTAGTTTGATGGATGTTGCCGGATAAGCAAACAGGCTGAAATGTTCCTCGAAGAACTGTGCCCAGCATCTAAGTTATCGTTTAATATTAATGATCGGCGCCCCATCAACTTCACACCGGACTTCTCAGTACCAGTAGCTTGTATGAAATGAAACGGATGCTTGAAGTTGCAAGATGAAGCTGCTGCTTTCAACTCGTTAGCACGGTTTGACCGCCGTATTTCTGTCCTTAGGTTAACTTTGGATAACAAAAAGGACTAGTGATTATATGAACACAATATAAACCATTAAGAGAGTCAAAGCACAGACATTATCATTTAACAAAGTAACCTCCCTAAACCTAATGTCTATTAACATTCCAAAAGATAGGTAATTTGAAATAAAAAAACTGTCAAAGTATGTGCATTAATAAACACAGATTAGAATGTACCCCCTGATACTAGGTAACCGTCGATTTCATTCATTACAAACAACAAATGACCATTACAATGGCTAAATGTCAGGAAATTTTAACTAAGAAAAATTTGGTCTGTTCCTCAATGTGAGCGACCAGTGACCCTAATACTAGAAAACATTCGAAGAAGTTGGAATATGAAGTTTTTCGTTCAGAAAGTTAGACTTATCTACTAGGATTCATATTTCCAGAAATACATTCTCCTCTGTTAGAAATTTTAGTCATAATATGAGTTGGTCAACAGACTTCACCAAGTGACTTTTATTGTACATGCAATGAGATGCTTAGTCTATCGACAACTGATGAAGAGTTTATATAAGTACTGTTTCATTATTTTCGGGAACACACAGACCATTTTGCACTTTACATAATGACAAAACAATCTCACACTAACTTACACAGAGTACATCGGTGCTCTGATTTATAAGCTGCTTTGAAGTCAACAGATGTGTCCCGAATATTATCCAACAAAAGTATTGTTATATCAGTTGTAAACTGCATTAATATACTTTAAAGTACGGTCACATAGAAAAAGGTTGAGTTAACTTTAACTTTATGCTGTTTCAATTTTATCAAGTGATACATTTAATAGGCTTGAATATGCGATGTCTCAACTACATAGTATGTAATTAATAAAAAGCTTTAACATTTGAACCCCACTGAGCAGACTATTACGATCTCAATAAAAATGACCAAAGAAGTAAATATTACAAAGCTATGTGTTGACAAACTGCAGATAAAATCACTGGTATGTTTTTCTATAGAAAAGTACTCTAAATATCTGTTTCTTAAAACAGAGGAGAAATCTAGTATATGAGAAAAAGTATTGTGCAGAAACTGTACTCAACTAGTCGAACACTTCCGATACATCAGTTATCATACATGAGCGTATGTTTATGTACTTGTAGATTTGATATGATCTTAGATACTATTCGCTTTTTCTGAAGATATATGTAATATACAAAATAGAATTGGTCAAAAATTTAAATATAGAGTTTGCATAAGTAAAATACAGAGGACATATCACTAGATGAAGGGAAAGAAGCAAAACAGTTAGATAAGTTGAATTGTTCTACCATAGGAATGTGATTTGATTTAGTTGAATTGTCTAATGAATAAAAAGCTGGATATATATATGGACCATAGGATGTAGAATACATTTTCAAACTTCGTTGTTTATCTGTTGTAATCTGGCTATTATTCCTAATTGATGGAGAATGTTTCATATAGAATTCTAATAAAATAGAGTTCAATGAAAACGATTGACAAGGAGTTTGAACAGGTGGTATATAATTTGTAGTATGATCACATGTCGTCGGATGATCGTTTGACAGACAAATGCAAGCAGTTTGTTCTTTCCCCACAAGATCAGAGTGAGCTTGATCGTCGGGAAGGGAAGTAATAACTATATCAAATGGTTTGACAATCTTATCAACTACGTGGAACCAATACTTAACATTACCCAGTGTCCAAAATATAACGCCATCATTATGATTACCATAATTACTGATGTCATCGTTACGTTGTAATGATAATTCTCCAAAACCATGAGAAGTAGGAGTGGGTAAATGACGTCGACCAGATAGACTGGGAGCAAGAATTTTCTTAATTGTCAGTTGATTCAAAGGATATAAAGCAGTTGAATCCTTGAACGGAGGTAGTAACTTAAAAAAATAAGACTATAATTATTCAAAGATACCAGTGTACATAAAAACCGCATATAAAGAAATACAATACCATCAATTTGCTTAACTATAAAATCAATATATAAATTAATAATTATGACCTGGTGAAAGAAAACTCAAGTCATATTTACAACTGTATGAATATTAGGTTATTAAGATTTACAACAAAAACAAAAGACGAAAATACTATAATAATATCAAACGATAACCCTTTCAAAGTCAAACAAACTAGAGGTCAGTGACAGGTAGTAAACTTTATTAATTTCACTTAATCACAGTTTAGAGACAGTTTACAATAAATAACATGAGGAGAACAAACACCATTGTTAATCATAATTCCAACCATGTGGAAAAACCAATTCTATAGTGCAATATGAAAACCTTAAATGTTGAGTCCAACATAACTAAACAGAAGACATCACAATAGCAAGCGATCTGTAGGAAAAAACTTTTATTCGATAAGCAATGTTTCATAATAAAATAAAATCAGCTGAAAGGTCAATAAAAGCAACCATTTGGATTAGACGGTTCTAGTTTAATTTTAACTTGACCTTAAATGTTATACAGAATTAAGTCTGGTGACATTTATTTCTCCCAATGAATACGATAACTATGGACCACTGGGTCAATATAAAATGATTGACATTGTCAACGCCGGCCAAAACTTTTAATAAAAAACGATCTTAATCTGAAAGAATACTAAATTACTTGAAATAGGAGCTTAAAAGCGCTCTGCATGAAAACTGCAGAATGTTCGAGGAATTATTAAATCAAAGATATTATAACCGATTATTACTACTATTACACCATCCGGGTTAAAAATCAGCATCATTTAGAAAATAAAACATGACTTTTTGTTACACATATTGATAATCCCGATTTCTTGCTGTTGTATACATTTTGGTACGAATGCGAATCAGTTTACAATTGTGGCATAGACCACAAAAACATAATGTGAAACAACAGTGATATAAAATACTATGTACTATTCATGCATCTTAGGTTTTGTACAGGGGAAAAAATGTTTTGGGTATTAATAGTTAAATTGATATACTGTTTAAAACGTAAACAGAACTGATATTAGTAAAGAAGACAATCCCAACATTCTTAAGTATCGAAGGTACAGACATCAAAATAACAATGATAGAACCTTTTAAAATGTTTAAAAATATAGTCGTTAAGAAGTCTAAATTCTTCAAAAAAGTATCAATTGATACACTATCTGACAGACAATACTTTGGAAATTACTCTTTTTTAAACATGTTTTCTTATCTGAATAGAAACTGTGGTTATAAGCGGGTTGATATTAATCGTGACAGAAAAAAAAGAAACATTTATATTAATTTATTTGAGCTGTATTAATGAAACATTTGTCATATAACAGCAATAGGCAAGTATTTTTGCATAGAAAAAATTTGATTTTATACAAGCGAACTATCAATTTTTAAGCCGTATAGCAAGGTAAGAAAAAATCGCATCTAAAAGTGAGGTTAAGGATTTTATCCGAGCCAATAATTTTAAAATAAGTATGTCTAATTATTTTAAAGACTATGGTTGTCTTCAAGAGCTAAAAAAATGGTAGATATACCATATTACCTGACGAAAAGCAGAAAAACGTTTTCGGTAGAGTTGTGTCCCCTGAACTGAGTAAAGCTTTCATCGTAACTCTAAATAACTTCACCAGTTAAAATTTCAGATGTTAATGAACTATTTGAATGTCTCCACGTACAACTAACATCTTTTTTTGTCGACCTTGAATCTGATTAGTTATTGTTAATGCATACCCTGCTATTTTCAGTAAACTCACTTTTATTTACTTTATTTTCGACCTGGTTCTTGACCTAAGTGTTGCTGATTATTCCTCTAACTGGTTCTTAAAAATATATCACTGTCGATGTTTATTAATAACTGATTACTAACCTAAGCGTCAAGCTCCTAAAAATTCCTTGATCTTTGTATTCTTTGTCTACGATTAAGGAGTTTTCCAAGTCGAATGTGTCAGCAGTTATTTTCATGTACCGAAACTTTGTAGTATATTACAGCAATACAGTGTTCGTATCAGGGTTAACAAGAAGAGGGTGGCCACTTAGATTCATATAATGCTTTTCAAAATTGGGGTAATTTAATTTTTAGATTATGTCAAACTTTCTTGGTTTGGCATTTCATCTTTTGGTCTGGATAGGATTAACCAAAATATTGAAACTGATCGAATCTATTAACCAGTCAGAGAAATGATAAACAACAATTAGGTCAAGAAACAGAGAATAACAGGACAAGTGTTAACAAAAACCAGTCAAATTTAAGGTCTACAGAACAAGATGTTAGTATTATATAGAGAAATTCGAATAGCTCACTAATATCTGAAGTGATGTTGTTATCTAGAAAAACGATGAAAGTTTCACGAATAAACTACTCAGTTCAGAAAACACAGCTCCACAAAAATCATTCTACGAAGTTACAAATTTCACAATCATCTCATAGAAAAAATTATCCGTGGCTCTTAGAATAATCAAGTATTTAGTGAGCTTTAATGATACAAGATCAAGTAATACCTAGAAAGACTGAATGGTGTTATCAGGTCATGTATAGATTATTAAAAGTCATTTTATACATTGTGGATACAACATAGGATGCAATTTTCAAAGAAATTATTATTTGAAGATCATTAGCAAACCGTATCATTATTAACGGAAGAATCGATGCTCCATGATAGAATTGGGACTCACACTATACCACGTCACACTCACAGAACTTACTATTGATAGTCATACTGATTGACTACTGAGGATTAACCAATATCATGTTATCTGGAACCGATCGAGTGGTATCAATCAAGGTGCAATGTGACGCACTAATGACCACTTGCATTTATTTGAAATATAAACCGTCTTGAAGTTTAACATCTAAACATATTCAAAAAAATGCCCATCCTAACAATACATGTATACGGCATATTTGCGTCATGAAATCAATATTAAATTATAAAATTTGACCTTCGTAATACCTGTAACTTAATGGATAGTACTCATAAATATTTATTAAGCCATCGGATCGAACAGCAATATTCAACCACCAGGCATAATCTCGATTTTCATCTTTATTCTGTACTATGTATATTCCTTCCTATTGCTTTACTTTTCAAAGATAAATTTTTCTAAACACAAGTATCAACTTGTCACGAGACTGCAGTGACTTACTAACTAATTCAAAATGATTGGAAGATCTAAATTACGATAATTAATGGAAAGATTTTACTTACTAGCCAAGCAGAAGTTCGTATAATTAACTTTGAGCTGTATTTCTTGCGTAACGGCTAGTGATACTATTTGATTGCTCAAACCGGAATAAGTAGGGGAGGCGCACGACAAGACTGGGTGGTTGGAATTTAAATAGTGACAATGAATCATGTAGGCATGTAATAACACGCATTGTTACAGGATCCTCTAGAGATTTCACTTTAAAACGAACGTCTAATATGCTTGGTATAACGAATTAATTCAATAATAGTAGAAAAAACATTCATATGAGTAGAATGATACGCATAATTTGACTCTCAACGTTGAATTAAGTCAAGTATATCAATGTTTCGCTGCTAGATGCAAAAATGAGAAACAGATACTAAGTGTTTAGTTGGCTAAACAATAACATGGATTTATTCTTAAATTAAGGCAGATGGTTTTCTAAATTTAACTGGGCGACCATTTAGGTGAGAAACAAAAACCAGTGTTTGGTAATTTTTCAACGAGCTAAAAAAGCAAAACTCTGAAAACAGTAAATGACCAACGAATCTTATTACATAACGTATTGTCGTAACAGTGACAACATATACGACTAGAACCTAAGACACTAATGCCAGACAAGAATGTAATCACTACTCAATGTTACATGACTGCATGATGAATAGATAAAATAAACTCTTGAACAGCTCCATAAACTGACTGACTTTGTTCACCTGGTAAACCGCAATTACTACAATTTTAGGTTCTAGTGTTTAAGCTGGGTCAGACAAAATACAACAAAACAGTAACTCAATATCCCAATAAGTGCTGTGTTCACTAGAAAAAAAACTGCAAAAAATCAGTAGCAAAATACATATAGTTAAATAACCAACCTGCGTGAGTTTTATGGCATTAATTTTACCGGAATCAGACAAATAGAAAGTAGCTCGAAAATTACGCCACCTAAATAAATGAAACACAGGAAAAGACTATTAGTGGATTTGTACAATACTAACATACGAAATGTATTCGAAATGAGAATTGGAGATAAACGAAAAATCAGTACGGAGACAATGTTTTTATTATGAAAATAAATAAGATAATAATAAGATAAAGACCGATTGAAAAACAAAGGTAAACAAGATAGAAGATTGGTTTTTGCCTAAAACTTTACTATCGACACATGTTTCGGGTCTTAGAGTGATAACTTAGTGTTTAAGGTATTTAGTTTTCAAACAAAGAAATCTCAGGTTTAAAGACCATCTACTTCGATATGGATGATTAATAAGTAGTACTAGACTTCAAATTAACAACGTGGGTCAAAGCTGAGTACATGAACCCGTTCTTGCCAAATGGGTTACGGCATCATCACCCTACTGTAAGAGAAGATGGACAAAGTAACTTAAAAATAGTAGAGCTTATCATCCGTAATGACTGTTTGTAAGCTAATATAATGACAAAGCATTTAAAAAGTGTATAACAAAATCCAAGTAGAAATAATTTGAAAACTGTAAGTAGACATTCAAGTTGAAAATGTGGATACAAAGCATACAGAGTTAAATTACCTATCCAAATTCAGCTAGTGTTATTATTTTACGGTCGACGTACATTTGAGGAAAAACACACTTGATGAACATCCTTCGTTTGTGATGTCATTTTATCCAAATTATTTTGTGGTTACTTTGATTGAGACCCATTAACCATGAACCCACCATTTTACCATTTAGAATATTAACAAAGAGAAAAAACGTGTACTATTTATTAGGATACGTTGAGCTCAAGTATTTCCAAACCTATCACATTTCCGAACGGACAGTTCATATGAACGCATAAATTACTAACCACTTTAGATAAACACTACTTCTTGTGTTGCATTTCAACTACGGATATAAACCAAAGAAAAGCAGTTTACAGAATTTCGAACTATTTAGTGAAATATCTTGAAAGGCTAACAAAAATATGTACTGTTTGATAAAAACATGAGTAAAAATCAGTCTAATTTAAGGTTATTATTTATTATCAGCTAGAAAGCCATTAAAAGCCGAGGAGCACTGTAAACAATTTTTTTCAACTTAGGACCCCAGTAACCACGATACATTTAGACCATTACGCTTTATCCAGTGATTCGTATCTTCAACTCTAATACCAATGGTGGATAACTGCTACCATTATTGACATTGTTGAGATATATCAGTTGTGACTTCTCACCTGAACCGCGAGAATAGATTTCGAAGCCAGGCGCCAGTGGATTATATCTGGTGCTCATCATTCTCTAGTGATTTCTTAACAGATATCAATGAAAACATAAATAAAAGTATATTTAAGAAAATATCTACGTTTAACAGTTATAGATTAACTTACTGAGCTCGCTGTTCTAATCTTTCTAATAATTTGTCTGAAGGTAAATGAGATTCTCTTTTGGATGGTGAAGGTAACAGAACGATCCGAAAACAAACTTCGACTTCCCACCTTTCTGTATCAGATAAAATACTAGTCAATTCTAGTCGACGACCATATGAGCGCATGGAAAAATAGGCCCGACTAGCCACTACTAAAGCACGAATCCAGGACTCACCTCTAAGGTGAATAAGAAAAGAAAAAAACAGAGAAATTTTTAAAAATATTTTTTTGGAGGCATATAAGTCTTTGGTATCTTATTTTGGCAGAAATAGAAATCACCACTAGTATCTCCGATAGTCATCCAAATAAATAAACCGCTTAGGTCAACAAAATCTATATTTCGATGTAGACTTTATCACAATTAATTTTTTTGCTAGCATTACTGTGAGTCGTAATTCCGTCTGGAACTGACGATCAAAATAACTAAGCAGTGAGACTATGATTCGGACAATGATAAAGATCATAAATATTATTCAACTTGTTGAGTGTCCCAGACAGAAGACACTGAATTTTCAATGTTCTGCTAAGTAAATGAAACAAGATAGTATTTCAGTAGACTAAAATCCGAACATTCATGTATCCCTACAACCAGAAAAATATAAACAAATTTAGGTTAAAAATGAGATATATTTTAATTTTTATTTAGCGTTACAAGCTACTGATATAGATATAAATAATCGATTTCCCCCAAATGCTTTGATGTGGAAGGATCGGATTTTCTCTCGAATAAACTACATGCTTTGATCTGGGCATCCAATAAGCACCCCCAGACCACAAACATTTGTTTAGATAGCTATGAAAAAATATTCTGCTCGTTAAGCCTCACTAACTACTTAGATGATGATTGACGATACATTATTACATTTCATTATACGTCTTTCCCCTTTTATTTTCAATCTGTGTATACTTTTATTTTTCTTCGACCTACTTGCCAGTTCGTTTCCGTTTTCAGTTCATGTCTATCGAAACAGTTCCAATTTGCTAGATGGTCACCAATAAAGTCTCTGATATAACTTTTCTGAAGCCACGCGTGCACTTTGATGAAGATCGGGCAGCAGATAGGTTTGGCTATATTCGGAGTCTTGACATAGATGTATGCTGTATATGTGAAACTATATGCACAACTTTAAAGAAATAATACAAATTGGTTCCGTATCTGGCCATTCAAAAAGTTTATTCCTCGTGAGTTTATTCGGTAACCCTGTGGCATGAGCACCCACTTTCGTTGACATTTATGTCGCACTAAGCGTCATAGCAGATGAATCATTAACTGGTTACGCGTCCATTCGAAATATTTTATTTTATTTAAGATAAATACTGGCATAAGGAGATAGCATTATAAATATGCGCCACATATAAGGGAATGATATTGTGAAGAAATATGAGGGGGGAGTATAATTAACATAAATAAGTGGATGAAAACCGAGTACATGATAGTAGTTTAATAGAGGAGAAATTGTTATATTCCAACGAGAATAGTGAATGGGCTAACACTATACACATATTTTTATTATATAATGGTCAAGTAACTAAATTATGTATATTCATATTCCCCTTATTATGAACTTTGTTTTGACCTATAGACCATTATTATACGATTTACCAGTTTATTAATTACCGTCTTGCATAATCACAGACACTTTTGGGTAGATCTTATAGAAATGTTATTTTCTATTTTATGGTACGATGTGGTCTGTTTGGTTGGTATATAAACCAAGTATGTTTGAAATACATGATTCATATTGCAGAGGCTGGGATTTGTGTTCTGAACTCGAAAGGCAGGGCTAGGCAAGAAGAAGTACCGATAAGGACTATATACTACTCGTACGGGTTTATGTGTCATTGGCCCGGTCGATAAGTCACTGTTCTCTAATTGGAGGTATTATCACGTTATATATTAATGGGACACACGGCCACAAGTTATAACAGAAATAAATAGGTCAAAAAAATTCAACCGGAAAAACGTTTTCCAGTCAAAGTTCTCACTTTTATGAAGAATCTTAAGGAAAACTATAGCATGAACGTCACTGGCTTTTACCGTGAGTCGTGTCTTTTAACGTTCAAGCAACTGAGTTGAAACATCTCAATATGATGAATATTAGTGAATAATCATTTACATACTGTTGGACTAGAAGGGTTAATTAAATCAAGAACTTGCCTGCATGGTGATGGTTCGGAGTAGCAGATGGAACTTAATACTGATCAAATAGCCTTTTTAATAAAGCGCTTTTGACAGAGACATTGGGGTTAGCTGGGGACGTAAATACGCAGGGTAGGGATCAGGGCACAGAAAAGTTACAATGGCCAATAGAGACCAAATTGTCGTAGGTCGGATAACAGTGGCCGCCTTTTGCAGCTTGTGTGGATCACAACCAAATTTCAGCACAGTGGCAATATGTAACCAATCGTCCATCATATTAGTTTCATTGTAGTTTGGTCCGTAGTCAGGAGCATTATTGATAACTTAGTTGATGTCACTAATTCGAAACAACGACGTTGGCAGCTTTTTCATGCTATATAAACGTCATACCATGGAATTCCACATGGTGCGTTAGTTTTCAACTCCGGGATTGCGTGGCGAAGGCAGAGGGGTTGTCAGTTGATAGCTTAGCTTTATGGTATCGAAGATAGGTGAAAAGAACTGGCATTTGTGGGCTCACCACAACTCCTTGAGTGAGATCCCAGAGATCGCGCAACTGAATAGGTTGAGACAACTGTAGATGTAGTTCATAATAAAAGTCAGTGGCTATCCTACTGTAGTTTATCATATTTTCCACACAAATGAAATGAAGTCTCTTGCTTAACAGGAATCATTCTAGGGTGCATTTTGAGTAAACTGTAGTCTTCTTCATACCATATTTGTCTATTTATTGATTGACTGTATGACTCTTCTTTGTTTTTTTAAAAACACTACCATTTTACTTGTGTGACGAATATTTGGATCAGTAACATCTCAGAATTTATGTAAGATAGAATGCTAGTAACAACTAGAAAAATGACGATGAAATTCGTTTGAACACCTGTTAAGCGAACCCTTTTACAGTTTCGATGTCAATATATCAAAAATTTCTTAATAATCTGATCACAACGATAGATCGTTCTATGTGATGCCCATATGGATTGACTGTTTTCTTTAAAACTGTAATGATATTTGATAAGAAAACTCAAGGCTTATCTGGAAGAACAATGAATGAAGACCGTTTGTAACTGAGTGAATGGACGACAGATATTGAGAGTTGGGTTAAATACTAATGGCAAGAACACTAGATAATTAAGCACAATTAATTCACTTAAAGCATTTACGGACAACGACATCAGTCATCAGATTTTGATTGAAAGTGAAAATGTCATGATAAAGTTTTAGGAGATAAGAACAGAACATTTTTAAAAATCGCAAATTAATTCATCGATACGTCAAGTCAGCAGAAAAAATGCAACCGAGGCATATGATTAAATCGTTTGTGGAGTAAATCGATTAATCTGGAGATTCCTTACATCATGAGCTTACATTTATAATGTACATTAATAATCGGTTGAAAACAATATCGTAATGGATGAATGAAGTCCTGTAGTTTTTATTTGAATGATGGCTTAAAGACTACAAAAATTTACTCTCAAACTACTGATTCGTAGGTTTTTGACATGCTCCACCGACTTTGATTCGGGTTACCAGATAGTATTACTAATCGTCATACGAAAATTATTATTCAGTGTCGAGTGCACAAATTTTTACCTAGTTGCCACTTTATATTCTTATATCGGTAATGAACTGGAAGAAAATGAGAAAGAAGCTATAACAAGGTATGGCAGTATTCACAGCATCTACACTACAGCTAACGATTTCGAACTATATAGCTCTGAGTTACCAACTACTCACTATGGATGTCTTTTAGACTGTAATTACAATTTGAATCTATCTGCTGCTGGAAACCCCATTGACTGTTTAAGGGTTTTGTTACATACAACAGATACTTTTGAGACATCGCTGATAAAAAACTATAGGTAACAAGCTAAGTATACTTCGTAATGTTTTTTACAAATAACGAATTGATACAATGTATGCCTTCTCCAGGTATAGGAAAATGACTAGAAGGGAAGTTGTATACTTACCTCAATCTGCAGACGGAACCATTTCTTTTTTCATAATAAACAACAGTATCAGAATCTAGCAAATTTTTTGGTAATTCATTAAAAAGGGTTTTTTCAAAAAACAGTGGTAGCTCATCTTCAATATCTTGATTAATTTTCAATAGCCGATTCATTTTCGCTTCATTAGGTAATTTATTAAATGACTGATTATCTTGATCACTGAATAAAAGGATCAAATCTGCCAAAGTAGGATGAGTGATCTCTTTTTGTTTGTCTTTATTTTCAAATAAAGTTGGACAAGTATGCTTATCTGGAGACTTAAAACTATGATATAAAATTCCAGAAGATAAACTAAGATATAAAGGATATCTTAGTTTTTGAAGTAAGTTTAATTCTTTCGGTACATTTTGTGATTTGCACCGGAAAGGAACTAACAAACGAAACATAGTCTGATCAGCTTCTGTAACAAAAGAGAAAATCATTCGGACGAATAAAATACATAATTAATGGGTGGCGTGAATTACCATCGACATAAATTAGGCAAGTCCAGTCGATTCGCTACATATATGATACGTGAAGAAACAAAAATAAATACAGGACCTAGAACGAAAATGTTGGTCTACTCAGAGCTTAAAATCCAAAGACGGTTGAATACAATATTTCATGAAAACTGCGTTACAAACTTCGAAATCACATGAATTACTCATTTGGATAGTCTGACAATCCTTAGGACTATGTTGTTTAAAAACAAATATAAAAGTGTGTCCTTATATACTTACATATTACACCCCTATCTATCTGAAATCTTTGTCTTTTATCCAATCAACATGGTTCCTTTAAATAAAAAAGCGTTCAGAGAACTAAAAATACGACCACGTTAGTACGTATGGAATCGATACTAAGCTTGCAAGTAACAGACTGTCCTGACACCAAACATTCTAAATAATAACTTCTCAAGTAGTCTTCTAGATACCTAATCCTCATTTACTGTAGTTCTGAAGGGAGAAATTAACAAACAGCAGTTCAATAAATCGTCATATAGTAAATAAATACAATTATTAATAATTGTCCTACAGATAAGGTCAACTGATATCTAAAATAGAATACGCTCAATTAATGGTGAATTCTGAAAAACTTGAGTAAACTACAGAATCAACTTGAAAAGCACACAAACCCGACGTAGAACTATGTACATAAGTCTATGACTTCAGGTGGTGTGAATAGTGAACTTGGTCTTATGCAAAAGTTTAGACTAGAACGGACTGAAATACACAAGCTAAAACACTTCCTCACAAGTAAAGAGCCAAATAATCTTTTATATACGTACGAATGCACATCTTACAGATACCTAGCACCGAAAGCCGATGTATTTTGGTGAATGTGGAGACCATTAGGGTAATTATTGAGAGCCACACACAAAGATACATCACTAATCAAGCCAACTAGAAATAAAACAATACAATCCTATACCTTTTGATAATATTAACATCATTATTTTAATCTTATACAATTATATGTACATTTTATGAACAGTCCTGTTCTTCACCCAGATGATATTCCACTCACTACATGATATTCACAAATCTAAAACATTCGAATCCAAGATTGTACTTCAATAATAAGAGATTTAAATAAAATTCCTCTCAGCTTGTTTATTACCTAGTTACACCCAAGTGGATATATAGACACAGAGTCATGAAATATATAAGTATACAACTTTACAATTAATACTAAGACCTGAATTAAACAGAAACGAAAAAAATAAAAGTAATACCACCTATGTGATGGAAAATCAAAAGAGAAAGGAATGAAACACAAAATAAACTCATTATAATCACTTAGTAAACCTAGTTCTCGCTTGACTCCAGAATAATCAGTTTTGCCTTGGAAGTCCCTTATTCTACGGAATCATACTGTTTCCTCAAAATAGCATCTATTTGAGAATGGACTGAAAGTAAGTGAGTAGGGAGGAAAAGACTTAAATCATGAAGCAAACTGTTAAGTTGTATTTGAATTAAACATAACAGCCAAACCAGGCATGTTTAAAAAACACGTAGATATGGAACAGAAAATATTAATATTAACCAAACATGAAGACTAAAATTGGTATATTGACAGTACCACACAAACAAACTGATACTTCAAAATCCAGTAATACATGATCGAATTCTAGCCACTTTAATCTGTATAAAACAGTCACACTTCAGGAGTGACGTACTTTGGAAAACTATCCGTTTTAAGATAATTTGAAGAATTTACTACTTATGTGACTGCTGTATCTGCGGAATTCCATTCCTCAATCAATGACACGATATGCTTCATGATATAAAGTCGACTTGAATATTCATGACCTTTTTATTTGACCATTCTTAAATAATTGGTACTTATTTAAAAACATAGTAAGCTTAAATTTACAACACATACTTTGCTGCAGCGTAAGCAACAATTACAGCGCCTTTCGAAACAAATGGTTCAAATGGTTGTGGCCGGAATAGAAGAAGCTTTCGCTTAACAGGCTTCCGTATCTAGTAGCAGAGGATCACCAAATCCTTCAGGCAGGAACCTAGGTATGTTAACAATAAAACAGGAAAGGAAATTGATAAATCATAGTGCGATACTATCCTTAGTACTTAAGAATAGACCAAGTTGCCTCTTAAAGGACTCCTGGGAAGTCACTTTGACTAGCTCGGCCTGCAGCAAATTTCAGCATTTGACAACTCTTAAGGAGTAGAAATTGTGTCTGCATTCCGTTCTGCTATGTTGTGTCTCCAGGTTTGGGTGTTTTCCCTCAGGTTAGTGTTGCAACTAAGCTTGAGTTGGTGTTTTAGAGGATGTCCAGAAGTGTTGAGGATACTGTAAGCCATTAGAAGGTCACCTCTAAGACGTCTATACTCTAATGGGTAAAGGTTAAGTGAATGGAGGCGCTCTTCGTAAGGTTTAAATTTGAGTTCTCGAACTGATTTCGTGGCTCACCGTTGAATACGCTCCAGAGTGTCCTTATCCTTTTGGAGTAAGGGAAAAGATTCTATGCTTCCGTACTCTAAACCGGGACGGATAAAACTATTGAAGATTATATGGAAAGTTCTTGCGTCAAACTGGCGCAAAATGCGCTTCAATGTTACCAGTGCAAGGTTTGCTCGGAAGGCATTTTTGTCACAGTTAGCGTAAGACTCTAAATCGTAGGGCACCAGGACTCCTAAATCTTTTTCAACTCGGGATACTACTAGAGAGGAGGTACCTAAGTTATAACTGTAGTCTGCGACATGTCGCAGATGGACTACTTTACACGTTGAAGTGTTAAATGTAAGTCTGTTGTCGTCTGCCCAACTTTGAAGTCGAATGAGATCATCCTGAAGCATCAGTACATCGTCTTGGTTGCGTAGCTCTCTCCAAAGTTTCACATCATCAGCAGAACGTAATAAGTCTGACGGTACCTGTTGTGGTAGATCGTTTATATAAGTCAAGAACAGACGTCCTAGTACTGAACCCTGGGGGACCCCACTAGGACATTCCATAGCCTGAGAGAAAGTGAAGTTAAACCTAACCTTAAAATGTCGATTTTTTAGATATGAAATGATCTGATAGCCAATCGTTTGAGCTTATTGATAAGACATATATGGTTGATCTTATCAAAAGCTTTTGAGAAATCAGGGTAAGTGATATCAACCTTCTCCTTGTGATCAAGGGTGCTTGTTCATCTGTCAACCGTTGTCAGTAGGTTAGTCATACAAGAGTTACACTTCCTGAAACCGTGCTGTTGGGTTGAGAAGAAATTAAAGGACAGTAAATAGTCGTTTTATTATTATTATTATTAATGGCTTTATTCAATATTATATTTTGGTACAATATAGAATTCTCAGCACAATTTGGTCGACGGTTCTTACCATGCAACAAATCACAAGAGTAAAACCGTGACGGTTTTTATACCATCACATATCAGGGGCTCCATGATTTTTGAGGGTATGGAGAGAAGAGCGACCGGTCGGTAACTTGAAAGTTCGCTGAGTCGACCTCCTTTGAAAATTGGTGTGATGTGAGCCAGCTTCCAATTTTCCGGTAGTTTTCCTTGAATTAGCGCGTGTGAGAACATCATGCTAAGCGGCATTGACAAAAATGAGTCTGCTTCCCTCAGTATAGCGGAATGGACCATGTCCGGGCCAAGAGAAGTGTGTAATCTTAAGTGCTGCAGTTTCCGGAACATCAAGTCAGCGCTTAGATTCATTTCGGAAAGTCCTGTGGAATTGCAAACGAAACTGTCATCAGTAAAGTTAATGTCCGTCGGCCGAAATGTCTGGGAGTATTGTTCAGTCAGAAGGTTAGTGGCGTCGCCATCGTTGTTGGTTGGGCCGTTAAGACCTACCAGTTGGGAGACTCCAGTTTTGGCTTGACGAAAAAAGGCTGCATAACGGAATAAGCTTTTAGGATTAGAGGCAAGTTTGTCCACAATTTTTGTCTGGTACTGGAGCCTGTCTTCTCTTATAGCCTTCGTGCATATGTTCCTGATATGTTTATATTGCCTGTACGCTCCGTCGTTGTCAGTTCGTTTGTATTCCGCCCAAAAGTGCCTTTTATGGCTTAGCAGGCGGAGGTTACGGTTCTTGATTATTGTAGGTGGCTTGCAGCTTTTGGGAACCGTTTGAGGAACTGAATGGTTTGTAGCACGTAAAAGCGTGTGCAATAAGAAGTCCCAATGCCTTTCCACGTCGAGTTGGGGGTGAACATCCCAAACCACCTGTTGTAGATAGTCGTGTGGAGCTGGCACATTCAACCGTTTAAAATTCCAACGCGGGATATTGGTGGGGTATCTTAGCTCAGTTTCGGTGACAAAACTGAAGGCTATGATGGCATGATCACCTTTTCTCAGGGGAGCCAAGACTGAGAGGTTTTCAACTAGAAATTCTTCGTTTGTGAATACACAGTCTAAGCGCGATGGCGCCTGGCTGTTTCTCCAACGAGTTGCCGACCTCACATTTTCATGTAAGCCCAAGTCATCGATGAGGTTGAAGAACCGAGCTTCAATTGAGTTGTCACCTCCAGTATACGTGTGTTCCGCGAAGTTGACTCTAGGGAGATTAAAGTCTCCTAGAATCAGGATGTGTGTGAAACCGAGACGAGTAGAATGGGATAGTCCTTCCAGCATACGACTGTCGTACTTGATGTCGGCAGTTGGCTTCCTGTAAATGACTCCGACTAGACACCTCGAAGTACTGGACAATCTTACAGAGCACCATATAGATTCCTCAAGATTGTTAAACTCGAGGTTATGAACTTGATGCTCCTCCGAGCAAGAACGTATTTAAACAGCTACTCCGCCTTCATATCCTGATTTTCTGTCATTGCGGAACAAAGACATCTCAGGTAATAAACTCATGATCCGAGAACCGAGAAAATATCCAGGTTTCAGATATTTCTATCAGATGGGCCTTATTAGCATTGCTAAGTTCAC